TTTTAAACTCATATAAGGCTTTTTTTTATACACACCTATATTATATAAGAATACATTGAAGAAGTATTTATACCAGAATCTTAAAAAATCTATTTGTGCAAGTCTCATAGAAACTAAAAATTAGATTACCTCAAATTTTAAATTACATTTCACATCAACATAACATATATTTTCTCCTAATTTCGGAAAAGAATATAAAATCTATTACCATTTCATAAAAGAGTATGATGGTAAATTGAACGGAAACGATAGTAATAATCAAAATTTTAGTTTAAGCAGTTTAAAAAAAATTGTAAAAGAATAGAACTTTTTTGTTTAAGGTTTATTTAAAAAAAGATTTCAATATAATTGTCACTATATCTTTATAGCTTAGTGATATCACGGTTAAATTTTTAAAATTCAATTTAATTTTCAAAGCACATAAAAAATCAATTAACTAAAAAAGCATAATAAAAAATGTTATATTTTATTCCTTTATTTTAATAAGACAATATATTAATACTCAAATAGATCTTGCAAAATTCCTATGTTCATAGAGAAATTTTTAAGTAAATGTCAAAATGCTTGAATAAAGAAACATGATGGTTGCTTTTACTGCAATTTTTTGTGTTGCTTGAAAATTATTAGTTTTACTATATCTGGAATAAACTTAACCCTAATCTGATTATAAAACTCATAAAACTGGAGAATAAAAGAATAAAGTCTGGATAAAAATCAAGTTGTTTTTATAATAATATATTTAAGATCATTCATTTTTATAAAACAACTATATGTGTATAACAGTTTTTTCTATATTGTTGTTTTATTAGAACAATTGATTATATATTATAACATTTGAATATTGTTTTTTATTTATTATTTAACTAATTACTAAATTATTAAACAAAAATTAGATAAAATTTTTTTTTTGAAAAGAAACGTTAGGTTTTTTTTTTTGCAAGTTGTTTTTCTGATTTTTTATTGCTAAAAAACATTTATTATTACAATTAAAATTTTTACTATACCTGGCATGAAGAATCAACAAAATAAAATTTAAGAATAAAAAAAAAAAATTCATCAAAGCAAAATAATTTTAATTTTTCAAAAAAGCCCCTGCAAGACCTTTTGGGTGGGCAGCCCACATAGCCTGGCAAAAACGAGTTTACATTATAATGCTTGTGCACTTATTTACTCCTACCGAAGCCGACACATTCTTGTTTATTTAAAAGTAATTTAAGCAACATAATCTACTGCAGCGTACAGCAGTGTTTTATCTATTTTAACTAATTTGTTGTATTTTGATTCGAATTATTCTAAATATTTTGCATAAGTAACAGCTGCTTAAATCATAAAGTTTACGTACAAAAAGAAAATAAAATTCTTTTTTATATAATTAAATACCATGAAATTTTAAGATACTTAAAGATTTTTGATTTAAAATAAAATAATTTGTTACTCTCAAACAACATAGTTAGCATAGATGCGTTTAAAAATAATTTAAAAAACAAGGTTAATAAAAAAAACGAAGAAGCAAGAATCATAACACTAATATATTTTTTAAGAAAGCAACAAAATTTAATGATTCTATAATTATATTCATCTTTTCATTTGTTTTTAAGAAATAAAGATGTTTTACGTTTTATTATTCTCCTAGCAGTCATAAAATTCAATTCATTTTAACAATGGCATCACATATACAAAAAAGAAAAGAAAAAGTTGTCTGTAAAAAATAATTTGACTGAGTCAATAAAAAAGAAATACTCAAAAGTATTGAAATCAACAAATGTATTATGGTTGGTTGGATATCCGCTGGCAGATATAAATACCAGTTCTCTGCCTACTACTAGAGATGTCTACAGATTTTTTAGGTTTATACTATTTAAAGATTTTTATAACTTAAATTTTTTACTTCCAAAAATAACTTTATTTTTTAATTTGAAAATAAACTTCAATTCATATTCTGTTTTGCTTGTTAAGGTATCAATTAAAAATGATTTGCTTCAAGCGTTTTCTAAATGTTCAAAAGAATTAGGTACTAAAAGCAACAATTCAAAATTAAAATTAGCTGCAAAATTAACTATGAAAATCGTTAAAGTTTTTAGGGATAAAGCTGATATTCCTTGCAAGCAGGAAAAGTATATTGTTGAAAGTATTATTAAGTTACATGATAAATGGAGATGACTTGCAAAGTCTAAATGTAAATGTTTTTCAAAAAAAGATTTACTTATTCAAGGCTTCAAAAAAATAATGGGTAATATTTTTTATATTAGTTATCCAAATTGGAAAGAATACGTTAAAAAAACCAGATCAAATTTAAATGCAGAAGAAGATATTCTCTGGTTTTCAGCACTCAAAAGTGGAGTAAAAACTGCAGGACTAGTTGGAAAAGATAATTTTTTTAAAATTGAGTGCCAAAAGAAAAGTAGAGAAGGAGGAAAAAGAAATTTATGAATTGATAAAGAAAAGAAAAGAAAATTAAATTATAAAGAAATTGATTTCAGCGTTAATAAAAGTGATGGTGACTCAACTGAAGAATCATTTTTTACTGGTTCTAGAGGTTCTGTGTACCCAGATCCTCAGAGTTTTTCTAAAATTGATTATGAAGTAAATAATTTTGAATCGTCTTCAGGTGTAATGGAAAATGTTGTATCAGATAACATCAATTTAATTTTGCCAATATAACATTCAATGATAACAGCAACAGCTGATAGATCTAAACTATCAAACGCACAGCTTTTGATGAATGTTTCAGCAATCCTAGTTCTAGGTTATTTTTTTATTGTTATTTAAATCAATAATCAGTTTTATAAGTTTTTGATAAGTGTGATGAGTTAATAAGAAAAATTATATTCTGTATTTTTAAGGTGGTGTTAGAGCTAATGATATAAATATTTCACTAAACACAATTAGAATAGCATGTAAGCAAAATAGACAAATTATAGCAAGAAATATAATTGCAGAATTAAAAAAAAATTAATTAGATTATTTAACTCTTCACTGAGATGGGAAACTTATGAAGCAAATATCGGGTAAAAAGTTTGACTATTTAATTGTTTTAATAAATGGTTTTCCGAAATGCGAGGAAGGTAAAATTTTATCTATTAAACCTCTTCAGTAAGGCATAGGACATTCTATATGTAAAGGAATCATAGAAGATTTAGAAAAATGGGATGTTAAAGATAATATTGTTGTCCAAATTTTTGGTACAACAGCTTGTAACACTGGAATAAGAAACGGAGCGGCAACTCTTGAAGTTTCTCTGCATGTCGTCATCATGTTTTAGAATTAATCCAAGGGTTGTTTCGGAAAGTTTTAATTCAAAAAGAGACATCTGATGATAATATAGAGTTGAAAAATTTTCAAAAAAAGGATGGCTTCACTCTAAAAAAATTCCTCTCAAACTTTCAAATAGATCCTTTGATCTTGAAAATTCATTTTTAAAACAAAAAACAAATGAAACTCACAATTTCTTAGAGAAAGTATTGCACTCTAAGCATCACCCAAGAGACGATTACAAGGAGGCTGCAGAACTAGCAATTTTTCTTTTAGGTGGAGAAGAGCCCAAGAAATGGAAAACAGGAAGTGCTTAGTATCATGCAAGATGGATGGCGCATTTGCTGTATGCACCAAAGATGTTAATATTTAAAAAAGATTTACCTGAATCTGATTTAGAAAAACTTAAAATATTTTTGACTTTTACATTAAAACTTGGTTAGAAGCGTCAAAGGCTTGCTATGCACCAATTAATGATATAGAATTATTTAATGATCTAGAAGCACTAAAAGACCAAACTTCTGTGTACCTGCTGAAAAAGCCTAACATGTTTTAAGCAGACTCTCTTGGTATCTAACCAAACAGGTGTCTGTATTAAGTTTATTTTCAAACTTTCTCTAAATGATAAAGATAAAATTGCAAGAAAAATTATAGAATACGGAAAACCACTTGGTATCAATTGCGGTAAACCAACACTTCCACTGATTAGAAAAATTCCAATCTTTTTTTTTATATTGGGAAAAAATCTTGGTTGATTTTTCATAATTTAAAAGATGATGGAAAATGGCTTAAAATTCCTTCTTCGGAATGGGACAACAATGCTTATTATTTGAAAATGAAGCTGTTTATCAAAACTCTAAAAATGACTAATGACGCGGCTGAGAGAGGAAATTATTGTGTTCCAATTATCTCCAAATACTTACAAAGGTAAACCATAAAATTAGTTGAGAAGGTTTATGAAGATTATGTAGATTAAAATTTCTTATCTTTAGGACGAGGCTACACGAAATGAAGTTTTTAACGTGGTCGAAAATCACAAAAAATTTGTAGGCAATTTTAATAAGAAGCAACTATTAGTTTGTAATCATATGTGAAAAAGATAATTTTTTTTTACAGACATGTTAAATTTTCAAATTTTTTTGTTTTTGGCCTACCCTAATATATATATATATATATATATATATATATATATATATATATATATATATATATATATATATATATATATATATATATATATATATATATATATATATATATATAAAAAGTAATAGAAAATCACTTTACAAATTTTTTTTTTATTTAACACTGTGTTTCATCCATAGACTCATCAGATTTTCTGATGAGCCTTTATTGATGAAACAGTTTTAAATGAAAAAAATTTTTGCTAAGTGATTTTCTACTACTTTATAATTGCTCTGTTCTTTTAAGAACATTGAGCACTCTATTTTGTAGAATACATTTTAATATATATATATATATATATATATATATATATATATATATATATATATATATATATATATATATATATATATATATCTGAAATATATAAGCATAAAAAAGCTTAGGGTACAGATATGAAAAAAGATATGCTATGTGTTTTTAACTTAAATAGAGATCAGATTTCATGAAAATAAAATAAAAACAAATATTTAAAAAAAAAAAAGTCTAAAAGGAAAAAAAAGAATTTAATCGCAGACCAATACAACAGTAGATTTTACAATAAAGTATTTTAAAAGTTGAACCTTAAAAAGAATAGAAAATGTCTGTGTTTCTTTGGTTTTACAAGCATCATTATATGTCTGCATACCCCGCTCAACATACATATCGTTGCCAGCTCGATTTTTGCATAGCTGAAAAGATTATATAAAAAGATAAAAAAATTACAGCTTAATTAACAGGTTAACTCAAGTAAACAAAAAATACAGTAGCAACTATAAGCATTTTTACAAATTTTTCAAATGAATTAAAAAAATAACAGTAGTGATAATTGAAACATTTATATTTATACTCAATTAAAAGCTAATAAAAAATTAGAAATATTCTTATACAGTTTAAACTATTATATTGCAAAATCTGTAAAATATTAATTGAACAATTTTAAATAATAATTTTATTTATTATTTAATTTGATTTTAAATAATTATTTTATTTTGATTAAGTCTATATATATATATATATATATATATATATATTATATATATATATATATATATATTTGCCAATGGTATACCATAGGCAAATTACACTATAAAAAACGCTTTATAATCTATCATCTTGATGTTTTTCAAAATAAAAAAATATTCTCAAAGTTCATGATTTCAAACTTTTCTTTCTTTACGTTAGTGCAAAACTCAAACATGCATTATACATTTAAAGCAAGTGACGTAATGATAAGATTTTAAATCAGTTCTTTATTAATAGAAGGAAGACAAAATTTTACTTTTAAATTAAACAAGTTTCATTTTTAATTAAATGTTTTTCACAATAATTTTTTAATAAAAATTTAATTAAACAACTTATTATTTTCCCCATCCCTAATTCTTTAGCGAGCGTGATTTTATACTCTCATTACAAGATAAACGAGCGTTGTCTATTGCGACTGGAAGTTTTAAATATTTCATTTACTTTTGTGTTTCACATAAAGAGAGAGATCGCATCTGCTATATCACAACCCCTCAAAAGGTTTGGCTCAATACCGGTATATAAAATACCAATATTGATCCAAACAAATACCGGTATTTCGGTATCGGTACTACCGGTATTGGAAGCACTAGGCTAAGCTATTAGTTAAGAAAATTAACGTTAAGTTAGTTATATTTGGAAACTTAGATTAGCTAGAGTTGTTGGTTCGCTGCCTGCTGAAAAATGTATTGATTTAGTTCAAAAATTGTTGACACAGTATATGTGTTCAAGTAACTTTTAAGTAACTGTGATCAATAGTTGTTCATTAGGCATGGTATTCAACTAGGTGTTCAAGAGGTTTTGTACAAAAAATCCTTCAACATTTGCAAAAAAAAAAAAAAAAAAAATTAAAAGTAATCTGCCATTATAACGATAGCAGTGAAAGTGACAAGGATAGAAATATTGATGAGAACACAAACAAAATCAAGAATGACGGAGAATTTTCCAGTGGGTTTCAAGTTGTAATGAGTGAAGGGAATGATTTTATTGAACTGACAATTTGAAAAACTGATGATTTGCAGCCGTTAATTAATAAGGTGCACACTGTTGTGAAATTGTTTCTCCAACAAAAAATGACTAAACACTTTAAAAACACACATTATAAAAATTTGGTAAAGGCCTTTTACTAATAATTGACTCCAAAACTTGCTGGATCACTTAATGCTCGAACTTTTCGTAAAATTGAAAAATTGCATTTTCAAATCACTGATTAACTTTGAGTCCAAAGTTCAGGTAACTGATAATGAGTTTAATGCAATATTAGCTGTTACTTCATGCCTTGCGTTAGTAAAACTGGCTTTGGAAACATTGTGCTGAAATGATGCAACACTGTTGTCAGTCAATACAGCATTTTCGGCTCGATTGAAAGATGAGCTAAATCAGAAAGCGTATAATCCTCTCTCTTCCACCAGTATTTTTTCTGATTCTAGTGATTCTGCTGACAACACTGTAAACTTGTTGTTGAAAGAAAAGCTTGACTTTGCTATTTTGAAAAATAAGAAATGTAACAACAAAGGAAGATTGGATGTTTTGAATAATTCATTAAAAATTATATGCAATAAGATTGCATTTTTTGAAGAAGGAGGAAATCGTGGTATATATTTGAAAATATCCTAACAATACTTGGAAACTGTGAAGCCAACAAGTGTGGAATCAAAGTGTCGATTTTCAACAAGTGGTAACATTGTCACAAAATTACGATCATCTCTTGAGGTTGATACTCTGAACAACCTTTGTTTTTTACGGGCTAATTTTACGAAGGAGAAAAAAGCAAAAAACAAAAAGGTCAGTACTTTTGATATAAAATAAATATGTTTATTGAATCTATGAAATTTTTACTATTAACTTGAGATTTCATTCGTATTATGGTCAATTAAGAAAAAAAGTTTAATACCAGTTTTATACCGGTATTAGTGGTATTGAAAGTAATCAGCACCGAAATACCAGTATTGAAAAATGGTATCGGTATTGGAAGCACTAGCTTAGCCAAAAAGTCTTTTCTAAAGTTTACCTTAAGTCATATAATTTTATATATTTTTACTCAAGAACATTTGTTGTATGCATATGATTCAAGTGCAGTATAGCAAACATCACCATCAAAATATTAGACAGTTGCGTTTTTCAGCAACTTTCTTGAACAACAAAACACAGAATAGATTTTACTCAAATTTTCAGAGATTGCTTTTATCTTCATCGATACGCATAAAAGATAATTTTAACTGAAGAGAAAATATTTGGTCAAGATCTTTGTTATTAAATACAGTTTATGATAGTACTTCTAACAACCATAAACTGTATTAAATAACAAAGATTTTAACCAAATATTTTGTGTTTTACACTTTTTTTATTGAAGACTTGGATTTCATAAAAAAAAAAATTTCAAAAAAAATATTTTTAAAGTTCTGTGAAAAAATAAGAACTTAACCACATATTTAAAAAATTAAAATTAAAAACAATTTTGTACTTATTTACTAAAAATATAACAAACAAAATTCAATGATTTGTTTTAACCTCTTAATGCTCAAAACAAAAGAATATCTATCATTTACAAATACGTCTACAAGGGTGTTATTAAGCAAACAAAAAATGTCTAAAATAATTTCATTTAAATAATAATCTCAATGAAATGAATCACAAAAACACTTATAAATACTACTGTAAGTATAATCTTTATATTAATAAAACATCACCTGGTCATAAAGTTCAATCCGATTTTTGAGATTAGCTGATTCTTCCGAAGGTACAGCAACACCAGGGATATCTAAATGCCATATAGTTTCAGTTTCTTCTAAAGTAACTGCTACCTGTTTGAAAAAGATATATATACAATTTATTTTAACATTCTAACAATAAATTGTAATAATTAAACATATTTTGGATATATATATATATATATATATACATATATATATATTTATATATATATATATATACATATATACATATAAATACATATATATATATACATATAAATATAAATATAAATATAAATATATATATATATATATATATATATATATATATATATATATATATATATATATATATATATATATATATATATATATAATATTATATTAAGATAATAATAAAATACAATTAAATTTTTAACATAACTCAGACAAAAATTATATACAAAAATACAATACAGTGTTAGCTTAGATGACTTAAATGACAACAAAGTTGCAGATAAGAAATTTGTTTTCGTGGCAACATTTATGTATTAATTCATTTTGTTTATTAATTAGTTTCAAAGATGATGCAATGATATGGTATTTTTCCGTTAAACAAAGGTTACATAACTTTCTTTCGGGTTTAAAAGGTTCCACCTTATCAATAATCTTACACGTAATAATAGGATTTGAAAGACCCTTTTTTTCATTTCCCAGATATATTTAGAAAGTTCTGTGGCATTCGCTTTACTTTTGTATTGAAGTGAGTTCTTATGCTTGTATTAGCAATCTTTGAAGGTGTGCTCTGTTAAATCAATATAATTTAAACGACTATCCTGCGGTGATGTTTTTACATTCCGGACGTAAATTATATTTTTACTAAAACACGTACCTTGCTAAGGACATTGTGAAGGTTGCCGGCAGTTACACATTGGAACAATTGTGTTGAAAACATTAGATAATACTTTTTTATCGTGTCAGTTAATAATATTGGTGAAATTTTGAAGACAGCTATAACTGACTTTTAAATTTTTTAAAATAATTTTTGTTGTTGTTATGGTAGTTTGTAACGTCTGATGATCGCATAAAGCGTGAAACTCTGAGTTATGTTACAAACTGTATTTTATTACTATTTTAATAAAATACATTTGCTCTACTTTTGTATTGAGCACTGTATCTACCAAAAAATTACTCCTATTACTGGTATATTAATGCTCCTTTGTTGCTGGGCACTCTCTAATTATTATCGGTGGTTTTAAATAATAATAACAATAATTCTATAAGCAATTTTGGAACATGGAACAACATTCCTATAACTACTCAATGAAAAACATACCAATACAAACAAAGAAATTATATCTTAAGTACTTAACTGAAAAAGTCAAATTAGTGATCAAGTGTATGAGATGGAAAGCCTTAATTGGCGAGAAAATTCTTAATCAAGAACCAGATAACCGCTTTAATTTTAAAACAAGAAAATGTCCACTGCAACATTTGGATCTAATAAATTTTGAAAATGATCTACTTAAAATGATACAAAATATTTCGTTTACAAATTCCTACAACCAGTTTCAAAAACAGCTTGCAAAATTAAATCATCAAAAAAAATGTTTCTTTTTGCGGATAAATCACATAATATTTGCAAGCTTGAAAAATCTTCTTACAATGAAAATTTCTTTTCAATGAAAATGTAACAAGAACTTATAAAAAATCTGATAATTCGAAATATAATAACTTTAACAATGCAGCTAAAGTAATTGCTAAAAACTTAGGCATTGACAACAGGATGGAATGCCTTGCAATGAATACTGCATTTATAGCAATAAAGGATCACAAAGATGTTTTTGCCAATAATACTAAATGTCAATTAATTAACCCATCTAAACCAGAACTTGGAAAGGTTAGTAAAATTTACTGGAAAACATCAACAATAATGTGAGAAAAGCCACCCTTGTAAATCAATGGCATAATACAGCATGGCATATGACATAATAAATTGGTTTTGCAATATTAAAGACAAACACAACTGCAATTTCATCTAGTTTAATATTGAAGAGTTCTATCCTTTTATCTCTAAAGAATTACTTCAAATTTCACTTATTCACTCCAAAAAATTTACAAAAATTTCAGAAAACACATTAAATATTATTAATCACTCAAGAAAATCATTACTGTTTACTGAACACAATAGTATCTGGGTCAAAAAACTTGGTGATTCCAATTTTGATGTCACTATGGGAAGTTACGATGGGGCTGAAGTATGTGAGTTAGATGTACTCTTTATTTTTCATACTTTAAGTCAAGTTTTTAGGTTGTAAACTTGTATATAGAGATGATGGGCGTTGTTGTTTTCATGGAATTAATGGACCGCAATCCAAGAGAATAAAGAAAAACATCGTCCATCTTTTTAAGGAGAAATTTAATCTAAAACTTAATATAAAAACTAACTTAAAAATTGTAAACTTTCTTGATGTTACCTTCAATTTGTTAGAAAATACTTTCCAGCCATACAGAAAACCAGGTGACCACCCATTATAAATCAATAATAATTCTAACCACCCCCTAGTATTATTAAATCCATACCAACTATGATATCTAGCCGTATTAGCAATAATTTATCTAGCAAGGAAGTTTTCGATAGAGCAACATTGTTTTATAACAACGCGTTAGCAGCAAGTGGGTTTAACAAAAAGGTTACTTTCCAAAAAATATTGCTACATCAAAACCAAAACCAAGATCACAAAACATTATTTGGTTTAATCCTTGGTTTTTGCTAAATGTAAAAACCAACGTCAAAAAAATTTTTTACATTTCATTTAAAAGCATTTTCCAAAAACACATAAGTTTCGCAAAATTTTTAATAGGAACAATTTAAAAGTCAGTCATAGGTGCCTTACAAACTTCACCAATATAATTAACTAACACAATAAAAAAGAATTATCTAATGTTTCCAACACAATTGTTCCAACGTGTAACTGCCAGCAACCTTCACAATGTCCTTAGCAAGGTACGTCTTTTAGTAAAAATATAACTTACGTCTGCAATGTAAAAACATCACCGCAGGATAGTGGTTAAATTATATAGTTAAATTTAATTAATTATATTGGTTTAACAGAGCGCACCTTAAACAATTATATTGGTTTAACAGAGCGCACCTTCAATGATTGCTAATACAAGCATAAGAACTCACTTCAATACGATAGTAAAGCGAATGCCACAGAACTTTCTAAATATATCTGGGAAATGAAAAAAAAGGGTCTATTAAATCCTATTATTACGTGGAAGATTATTGATAGGGCAGAACCTTTTAAACCTGGAAGAAAGTTATGTAACCTTTGTTTAACGGAAAAATACCATATCATTTCATCATCTTTGAAACTAATTAATAAACGAAATGAATTAATATATAAATGTTGCCACGAAAACAAATTTCTTATCTGCAACTTTAATGTCATCTAAACTAACACTGTATTGTATTGTTGTATATAAATTTTGTTGTTGTTATGGATGTTTGTAACGTCTGATGATTGCATAAAACGCGAAAGTCCAAGTTATGTTACAAATTTAATTGTATTTTGTTATTATCTGAATATAATATAATATATTTGCTCTACTTTTGTATTGAAAACTGTCTACCTAAAAATTACTCTTATTACTGGTGTATATATATATATATATATATATATATATATATATATATATATATATATATATATATATATATTAACATTTCATTGGTGTACACAATAGTCTACCTAAAAATTACTCTTATTACTGGTGTGTGTATATATATATATATATATATATATATATATATATATATATATATATATATATATATATATATATATATATATATATTAACATTTCATTGGTGTACACCATAGTCTACCTAAAAATTACTCTTATTACTGGTGTGTATATATATATATATATATATATATATATATATATATATATATATATATATATATATATATATATATATATATATATATATATATTAACATTTCATTGGTGTACACGATAGTCTACCTAAAAATTACTCTTATTACTGGTGTGTATATATATATATATATATATATATATATATATATATATATATATATATATATATATTAACATTTCATTGGTGTACGCGATAGTTCAGCTAATATTTCAACATGTTTCAGCTATTTCTAAATTTTGGAAACATTCCCCACATACATTTTCATATACATTTTTTTTCATACATAAATTAAAGCAAAATCAATGAGGTTTTGCAAGTTAATGCTGTTCTGAAAGTTCACTTTTTATATGTTTTGAATTGAATTCATATCTAAATAGATCATGCAGGATTGGAAACAATTTATCAAGACAATCATTGAATAGGATATAATAGCATATTACAAATGTTGGCAGTACCTGCCCTACAAAAGATATTTAGCTTTTTTGTCATTCAGCAGTGGCTACTTGCTTGGTCTTAAAAAACAAAAAAGTTGATTGATTGGATAATAATTTACACAACTGAAAAAATCCATATTATTTGTTGTAATTGGCTTTAAAGCTGATCTTTTTTGTTTTTTCTTGCACTAAACCATGGTAAAAAAGTATGCCAGATGCTAGTATAACCAACTTTTCAACAGCAATCTGAGCATTTTGGGATCAAATTCAGCTATATAAAGTTTTTTGGGATGATAAAAACTGCTTACAAACTGTAAACAACTTTTTTGACAGACTTTTTCTGAGATAATAAGTTTTAGTAGGGTTCTAACCATAATTCTTATTTTTTGACATTTGCTTTAACTCAGACAATTGTACTTGTACATCGAAGAACATATCAACTGTCCAAAAACAAATAAAACACACAAAGTGTACTTATTCTGCTTGGTATGAACATACCTTGCCACAATCATTAAAGCCTTACTACTATGGATAGAACATGTCAAAATAGCCACCAAATAATATTGTTTGTGTATTTAAAAAAAATATTACACCATGCACATTTGAATTAAAATTTAAAAATATTTAATAAATTAGTTTAAATCTCAAGTTTCTTTCTAAAATTAACTAAAAACATAAAAAAATATTTTTTTTACAAAATTATATTTAAAAAAAATCTAAACATACGTGCTTGTAACTAAGAAATTGGT